GACGAGACTATACTTTACTATAGAATAGAAAGATAATTAATTAGCCACATAACCTATTTTTTTTTTGTTATGTATAGAAAAATTGCCGGGCATGTGTGTACATTGCCTGCTAGTCCAGCTACTCTTGGTTTTGAGCTGTTTTTTCAAGATTGCTTGATGCCCAGGATTTGGGTTCTGTGAGCTTTTTTTTTAGTTCTGATTGCCATGGCACTTTCTTTGACTTTTACTCTGTGCAACAAAGCTTTTAGAACTCTGTCTCAAAAAAAGAAAAAATACACTAAAGATATTTTGCTAAAGACTAGAAACTCACAAGGATGGATGTGTGGAAAAAGACGGGCATTCAGACTAGAACAGAAATGTATAATGCCTCTCTGCGACGCAGGTAGAAAAGCGCAGTATGAAAAAGGACAGAAAGATTGTAAAAACAAAAGAGCTCTTAGAAAATAAAAATATGGTAGCAGAAAAGAAAAACTGATAGTAGGGCTGGACAAGCAAGATAAGGAAACCTCCTTAAAAAACTGAGCCAGCCACACACACACACACACACACACACACACACACACACACACACACACACACACACCCCAAGAGGAAAACTTGAGAGACAAGATAAGAAAATCAGAAGACCAAAATAGGAAGTCCAACGTTCAATAAAATAATAGCTCAAGATAAATACAGCAGGGAAAAGGAGAGGAAGTTGTCAAGAGAAGTTTCATTACCAAAAAGCACAACTACCAGATTGAAAGTGCCCACCAAAACCCAACAGATGAAAACAGACCCACACAAGGGCGTATCACTGTAAAATTGCAGAATGCGGTAGACAGCAGAGTCTATAAGCTTCCAGCTAAGTCCAAACCAGTCACATACAAAGAATCAAGAAACAGAATGAAATAAAATTTCTTCACAGAACATTAAAAGTTTCTGCTCTCCCCTTCATGCCCTGCTGACATTTCATTTTATCTTACCAGATTTTCTGATTTGACCCAATTCTGAGAACTGGAAGAAGGCTCTGAGGACTTCAGAAACTGAAAATACAAAGTAGCCCACTCCCTCTGAACATATTTCTACAAGATGTCCAATACTCAGTCCAAACTACAACCCTGTCCGATGCCCTGACGAAGAGAAACACTGTTTTCCAGACTGCCTCATGACCTTGCCCACTGACTTGCCTGAGAGAGATTCTCAAAACCTTTAGGAACCCTGAGGCCAGACTGTGGCCCTAAATCTGCTGGAATTATCTTCTTCCTGGGGGACTACACCCAATAATGGCAGAACTGACCTTTCCTTTGACAACTAGGTGTGTTCTTGTGGCTCCATTTTATATACAGATATGACAAAACTAAAAAACAGAAGCAGGCCGGGAGTGGTGGTTCACACACGTAATCCTAGCACTCTGGGAGGCCAAGGCGAGAGAAGCGCTCAAGATCAGGAGTTCGCTCAAGTTCGAAGAGCCTGAGCAAGAGCCAGATCCCATCTCTACTAAAATTAGAAAGAAATGAATTGTCCAACTAAAAATATATAGAGAAAAAATTAGCCGGGCATGGTGGCACGTGCCTGTAGTCCCAGCTATTCAGGAAGCTGAGGCAGTAGGATCACTTGAGCCCAGGAACTTGAGGTTGCTGTGAGCTAGGCTGACGCCACAGCATTCTAGCCCAGACAACAGAGTGAGACTCTGTCTCAAAAAAAAAAAAAACAGAAGCAAAAATATCCTAACAGCAAAGTTAGGGGTGGATTAGCTGAGACAGGATATAGGGGACCATAACCGAGGATGGGCCCACAGTAGCATTTCACCTAGTAATGGTCTATGATATTTCCTATCTTAGGCACTGAAAACAAAGGTGTGTATTCTGCTTCTTTCATACACTCTTCTTTATAATTTTAAAAAGTGTTTTAGTGGACATATTCCCTCAAGTTAGAAATTAAGTGTACCACTCATTATTAAATTACAAAGGTTTACACCACATCAGCAGCATGTATCCGCTGTACAGTCATGAAGGTAACTGGTTTAATTTTAAATTCATACAAAAATTAAGACTGGATTTACTTACATTATGAGTCTTCGGTTTAAGAACCAGTATTTCCTCCGACTTCTGTCATACCCAATAGGTTCATGTCGGATATATGGTTTATTTTTTTGGATTTCAGCAACACAGTCAGTCACACCAGGCACCTTGTGTGCTACACAGACTTCACACTGCCATTCGTCCTCTGGCACCTCCTCAAGAGGTGGCTTCACACATTCCAAATGATATACTGCTGAACACGTTTCACAACAAAGCAAATCCCCAAGTTTGTGACAAACCCTACAATGGTCGTCATACTGTATCACCCCTTCAGACATCAATTCCTCACGAGCAATATTTGTTGTAAGAAACTGATCCACTAAAAACTGCAGAACTTTGATCTTGTTCTCTACTGGTCCATATGGATAGTCCTCTGCTTCTTGGTAAGGAAGAACATGATGGTACTCCTTGTCACTCTCACAGTACACCCGCAGCACCTCTGGCCACGTCATCCCATCTATGAAGTACAGCGTAGAATTTACACTATCTTTCAAATCAGCAGGTCCAAAGGTAGTATTAGAAGTGTCTTCTTCACGCAGAACTGCTTTCAAAAGCACAACGTGCATCTCTGCCATGAGCGTGCACTGCTCTTGGCTCACCAGAGCTGCACAGAAGTCCTCAAAGCGAAAAGGGGACAATCTTAAAACAGTGCCAAAGTTCCGCAGTACCTCATAAATGGCAATGACATTCATTATATGCTCATTAGGCACCATTAAATCCTCAGAGGACTTGGGAAATTCAAGGGGTGGGATGTCTTTTTCTTCCAAGATTGGAGAACGAGGTCGATGTACTCTTGGTTTTCGCCTACCTGTAAATGAAGAAATAATATCATTACAAATCCATACAACATTTCTACAAACTAAGGGTTCTCTAGTTTTTCCTATTTGAACATATACCTCAAAAAACAGATAACACACTTCTTTAATAATTGTCAAGTTAAAATAATACCAAGAAGCCATGAGTTAGCTCCCATTTTTAAGTCTATAGAAAAATCTAAATTCAAAGATTTCCCATTAGATTCCAAACCAGAAATGAAAAAATTTAAATTATAATCATCTCTCAGTTACCCAGAGGGATTAACTGGTTTATAGATAACATGATTAAAAAATAATAGTGCATCTGTGAATGATCTGACAAGTGTATAAATGAGAAAAAATATCTACATATAAGATAATCAGCATGAGGTGAGGGGCAAGAGAGTTCACACTGTGCCAGCTGAAATACAGAAATGCCTCTAAACAACCAGACAGAAGTTGCCAGAGTAGACCCCTTTTCCTCTGCCGGAAGCACTTCCTCAGAGGAGTTCCACAGTGAAGCACAGACTCAGTGTGAAGACAGAAAGGAAAGAAATAGAAAGGAAGAAAGAGGAGTTTCAATACTGGGAGAAAAAAAAAAGTGGCTCACCTAGGAAAGGGACAACAGACTATTGTTTTTTAACAGTTAAGCAATTTTTTTTTTTTTTTTGAGACATTGTCTCACTCTGGTGCCCGCGCTAGAGGCGTGGGGGTTCTGGAAAGGGTGGTTGTGTGGTGGTGTGTGTGGTGTGTGTGGTGGGGGTTTGTGTGTGGGTTGGTGGGTTTTGTGTTGTGGTCAGGCCTGTGAGTGCCATGGTGCCAGCCTAGCTCATAGCAACCTCAAACTCCTGGGATCAAGCAATCCTTCTGCCTCAGCCTCCTGAGTAGCTGAGACTACAGGCATGTGCCAGCATGCACGGCTAACTTTTTGCTATATATTTTTAGCTGGCCAATTAATTTCTTTCTATTTTTAGTAGAGACGGGGGTCTCACTCTTGCTCAAGCTGGTTTTGAACTCCTGACCTTGAGCAATCCTCCCGCCTCAGCCTCTCAGAGTGCTAGGATTACAGGCCTGAGCCACCATACCTGGCCACCAGTTAAGCAACTTTTGAACACCGGTTCCCCAATTTATGAAATGTGATGTCCAAGCATATGTAAGTATAAATGTATCTATGTGTAACATTTGAGATTTTAGTTTGTAACAAGCATACATATCTCACTTAATCCCCTGAGCAAGTCCATGGAGATATCAACCCTGCTTTATAAATAAGAAAACTTTCCAGTAGAAGAGGAAAGTTAAAAAAAAACAAAAAATTAAAAAAAAATTAAAAAAATAAGAAAACTTGTTGAAAGTAACAAGTTTTTTCAAAAACTGTTATTACATTTTTCGATCATGTCTATAGAATGGTAAATGTATTTTTTCTACTTTTCAAAAGCAGTTTTAATGAGATCAATTAACATTAAATTCATTTTGGTACAATTAAGTTTTATTAACCATGATTTTGGGTTGCTTGATAACCTGTTACTGTCCCTCCATCCTCTCACCTCCAGCTTACTTTCATTGTCTTCAATTAAAGTGGCACATGATACCAGGAGAAAAAAGTATGCAAAAGAATGTAACAGGTCAAGATGTTTAAATGCAACCCAACATTCATTTACTAGAAAGCACATTTTCCAAATAAGAATACACTCATCGCTTTCTGTAGAAAAAAATCCCAGGGGTCACTCTAGGCCAGTCCATTTCACTGTCTTTTGGAAATTATTTGGAACTTATGTGCATAAATACAAATAAGAGAGAATAGAAAAGGATTAAAAGTGAAGAATGAACCTAAAGGAATTCCCTCAAATAAGAGTTGGAGAAAAACAAGTCAGCAAATGAGACAAAACTGCTCATAGAACAATTCTCTGTGTTCCTCTCAGATGTTTATGCACAATGTCTGTCAAATAGAGTCCAGGCAAAGGATTATGGAAGAAAAAGCTGGAAAACCAGTTCTAGGACCAGAATGCAGTGGTCCTTAAAGGTTAAGGAATTTGTATAGTATTTTGGCGGTAATGAGGGTTGTTAAAGGTTTTTTGAGCAAGGCAGTGACATGAATGTTTCAGAAAGACTTCTGTGACATTAGTGTACAGAATGAATAGGACAGGGGGAGGAGATCAGAGGCAGGACATCTACTGCAACTACCCAGGGGATAAAAAAATCTAGATTCAGAGTTCAGCTATTAAAACAGAAAAAGGATAAAGTGACCCTACGGGCCAGGCGTGGTAGCCCACGCCTGTAACCCTAGCACTCTGGGAGGCCAAGGTGGGCGGATTGTTTGAGCTCAGGAGATCAAAACCAGCCTGAGCAAGAGTGAGACCCCGTCTCTACTATAAATAGACAGAAATTAATTGGCCAGCTAATACATATAGAAAAAGTTAGCCAGGCATGGGACGCATGCCTGTAGTCCCAACTACTTGGGAGGCTGAGGCAGTAGGATCGCTTGAGCCCAGGAGTTTGAGGTTGCTGTGAGCTAGGCTGATGTCATGGCACTCACTCTAGCCTGGGCAACAAAGTGAGATTCTGTCTCAAAAAAAAAAAAAAAAAAAAAGTGACCTTACGAAGAAGGAAATCAACTGGTGTGGAATATAACAACAAAACCAAAAGTGTTCATATCTTCAACTCTTTCCTCGATGTTTAACTCTGATACAATTTCTCCTCCAAAAACTTGTTCTAATTCCCCAGGTTCCTCTGAATTCTTGTAGCTTTCTTTGAACCACATGTTAACCTACAATATATTATAATCTAACTTTTCATGGTATCTTGGTGATCTACCCAACTAAACTCCCAGCTCCTTCTTGACACAGATTTGGCATATTTCCTTTACTGTAAGCCTCTGCCCTGCATCAATCCCTTTAGAGAATCTCCCTTCCCCACTCCATGTGGTTCTGATGCGGCTCCCAATCACAGTATTCCATTGCCTGATTACTGGAGTGAACACCTGGTCCAAGGCAGGCCAATGAGAATCTTTTCCTGGGATTTTATATTCAGATGCTGAGTGAGAGGTGGTCTGGAGCTCTTTCTTTCCATGAAGGTGGGCAGAAGCCGTCTGTGGCTACCTCACCTGTGCCTCCCTAATGGAGAAGGAAATGAAGACAACAGACAGAAGCAGAAGTGAGAGAGAAATGATAGGGTCTTGACAACTCTTCAGTCCTGGCCTTTGAATTTCCCATTCACGAAAGCCAAAACCATTTCCCTTTCACTTAAGTGAGCATGAACTGCTTTTCTATTACATGCAACCAAAAGCGTTCTGACTGAAACAGTTTAATACAGTAGCTTTTTTAATAATGAGAATTGCAGGAAATTACCATTTTAAATTACCAAGGAAAAGAGTTCATGTTAAAAAAACAATCTGTTGACAGTCCTAGAATTTGTAAGACAGTAACAGAATATTGTCTAATTTAATTTAATGTCAAATCTAAAAGTATCAGCCTTCACACATTCTGAAAGATTTTGGATAACTATTGTATTGGTCTGACTTTTTTTTAGCTTTATAAAGCTAAAGCCTGCCAGTTTTCCGTTGGTTTTAGAGGTAAAGGAAGATAAGCTACAAGAGGTCCATAAGATTAAAATACATATTATCTAGCTGGAAACAACAAACCAGCTTCTATGCAAACTATGATTATATGTTATTCATATGGAACGACCTGAGCACTATTCACACTGTTAACATTAAATACTGGTCAGTTCACTCTGATACATTATTGGGAAAGTATAAATTGGTTCCATTTTCTTACAAGGCAATTTGGCAAAAAACTATCTGATACATATTCCACTGACCCAGCAATTCTACCTCCTGGAATTTATCCAACAGATGTAATCACACATCCATTTAAATAAGTACACAAATACTTAATTCAACATAGTTTAAGGGTTGAAATTTTGTGTGGGTATTTTGTGTTTTTTTTCTTTTTAACCTAAATATCTATCAATAGTTAAATGAATGATGATGTATATACACTATGCTATAAAACCTAGTAGTTAAAAAGAATAAGAACCAGGTGTGGTGGCTCACAGCTATAGTCCCAGATACTCTCAAGGCTAAGGCAGGAGGATTGCTTGAATCTAAGAGTTCATGAGCAGCCTGGGCAATACAGTGAGATCTTATCTCAAACAAAAAAAAAAAAGAAAAGAAAAATTCATATGTGTTAAAATTGAAACAATCTTTAAAACACATTATTAGGCCGAGTGCGGTGGCTCACGCCTGTAAAAACAAACAAACAAACAAACAAAACACATTATTAAATGGAGGCAACAGTGAGCTACAGAATAATGAACAGAATGTCACTTGATAAAGAAACTAAGGGGAAGGAGGAAGAGGAAAAGGGGACAGTGATAAAGTAAATATGTCTAGGAGGTCATATAAAAAATCTTTTTGGCCAGGTGTGGTAGGTAGCTCATGCCTGTAATTTCAGCACTTTGGGAGACCAAGATGGGAGGACTGCTTGAGGCCAGGAGCTCAAGACCAGCCTGAGCAACATAGTGAGATCCCATATCTACAAAAAAATAAGAAAATTAGCTGGGCGTGGTGGTGCAGGCCCTGTATTCCCGGCTACTAGGGAGGCTGAAGCAGAAGGCTTTCTTTTTTTTTTTTTTGAGGCAGAGTCTCACTTTGTTGCCCAGGCTAGACAGAGTGAGTGCCATGGCGTCAACCCAGCTCACAGCAACCTCAAACTCCTGGGCTCAAGTGATCCTGCTGCCTCAGCCTCCCGAGTAGCTGGGACTACAGGCATGTGCCACCATGCCCGGCTAATTTTTCTATATATATTAGTTGCCATTAATTTCTTCTATTTATAGTAGAAACGGGGTCTCGCTCTTGCTCAGGCTGGTTTTGAACTCCTGACCTTGAGCAATCCGCCCGGCTCGGCTTCTGCGTGAGCCACCGCGCCTGGCCCAGAAGGCTTTCTTGAGCTCAGGAATTCAAGGTTACAGTGAGCTATGATCAGGCCACTGCTCTCCAGCTTGGGCAGCAGAATAA